AGCCTTTTGTGGGGTGGTGTTCAAGCACCCCTACATTTTTACTCAGCACCACTGAAAAATAAAGAAACCATCATTAGAATTTTATAAGGAAACTCAGTTCTCAATCCTTAGATTCACCAAAATATTGAATACATTTGGAATAAATATGGAATAAATGATGACAGACTTAAATGGGCCAGTAAAATCTAGGATTTTTTTTTTTTTTTTTTGCACGAGTCAGATCCTAGATGGTACCTGTAAATCAATCAAGCAGCTCGTCAGCAACTGACCAATCAGTGACCTCAATTTGTGCTGAAGTGAAACGTCCCTTACCTGCAGGAGCTCCACCCCCTTTTCCTCTGACAACATTGTCAGGGTTTTACATTAGGAACGCTTTGCAGTCAGAGGGATTTCATGAAAAATCATCTGAAAAAAATGATTGTTGTCAGTGGGGAACATGTAATTCAGACAACGTTACTCTGTGTCTTTAGAGGGTGGAATACAGTTTATTTCATTTCCAAAACTAAACGAAGTTTGGAAAAATGTAAAAGATGGATAAATCCCTGCAGCCGACCTCATGAGCAGCTGAATACAACAGTGATAAACAGGAAGTACCACATATTCATCTGTACGAAGGAAATTGCAGGTAATCCTCCATTTTTGCCATAATTACATTGTATGCTAAAGCTAGTTGTACTTTGTTTTGTGTGTTCTGTATGTATGTTGTAACTTCTGGTTGCATAAGTTTAGTCTTTGTTATGATCAGTTGAAACTAAACTGATTTTTGTACAAAGTGTTTCTTAGGTTATGTACTGTAAAGCAGAGCGCTACGTCTGTAGCATCTTAGATAGCATGTCTGTATTGCATGCTGCTAGCTTAATGCTACTCCTTGTTGTGCCGAGCTCTCTCAAATAGTTATTGAATCGTTTACTTATCTATGTAAACGTCTCTAACAAATGCTTCTGACGCCGGTCAGTGCGTTGTTCAAGCCAAGAGCCATTGTCAGCACTGGGGGCTGAGCACCCCTAAAGGTCAGATTCTAGAATCGCCTCTTGTATATGACTACATCATTACTTCAAGTTTTACAAAACACTAGATCCAATCAACTTTGCAGGGAATGGACTGGATGTGCTGTTCCTTTTTTGCAAAGAACATCTCAGTACAATGAACTTCCCCTAATCTTGTTGTCACCTTCAGGTCACCAGGTCATCGGCACTGAGGGGCTGCGCTGGCTGATACAGTCATGTGTTTAAGGACATGTTTCCAACAACTCCCACTGATAGCACAAGTAGCTGTTTTGAACCATCCACCCTCAGTTTGTTGTCTCAACCTCAAACTCAACCCCTACAAAGTAAAAAAAAAAAAAAAAAAAAAAAAGGCATTTGGACATAAAAACTTAAAATCAAACTATAAAAAGCAGTAATTATGTCCTCTTTTTTGTAATTTCAGGCAATGATTTAGGGCTGATTCTGTGCTCGGATGAAAAACAAAAGTTTTTAAGGGATCATAAATTATGATTTTAATACAATACAGCAACAGTGTACAGCAACATTTTAGTCCTAAAGGAGCAAATATGAACAAGTGCTACTTATTAATTTGTTTGTCAATAAACTGTTTAAAGACTTTCTTCTTTTTTTCTTCTCTAGAACAACTGAAAGAAATTGACACGTCTCTCCTTAACAATTCATGGTGCACATAAAGAATTCATGGAATCTGAAGAACTACCAGTGCATTAAAGACATAGATGAGATCGTAAGCTGCACAATCAAACAGCCCTGTATCAAGAAGCATTACTGAAGTGGTGCACAGTGGTGTGTTGGTCAGAAAGGTCTCAGGCCAATATACTGTCTCTGGTACCTCAGCTCCGATCCATTCAGTCATTTTGTTGATTTCTCTGGACTCTGAGGATCTGAGATGGACCCTCACACAGGTTTTTATTGAAATAAATTGACCCTTCGTGCTCCTGATCCAATAAAAAAGGACCCTTCAGACTGTGATCAGCAACAGGTCCAACAGTCTGGGTAAAGCTCATTTTCACATTTGTGATGACTTTTTTTTGCAAAAAAGTCTAGCAGAGGTTTTAGAGCAACACAAGTTTCCATTTAGTCCTTTCTATATGAGAAGCTATTTTCAGTAAGACTAAGTAAAACAGTTCTCTGCACACATTATTCAATGAAATGATCTGATTTGATTTTCATTCAACCTTTATTTATACAAGTTAGTCTCATTGAGCCTGGAGGACTCATTTACAAGAGAGACCTGTTCCAGACAGAACATATAAAGTACAGACAATAATAACATGCATGACCGAGGAAGAAGAGGGTATTACTTCTGGACTCATCTGCGGTTCTGACCTTTGCCTAAAAAAAAGTTTTTTTTTGTTTTTTTTTAAAAAGCAAGAAAAAAAAATCTTTATCTTTAACTAATTCCCCTCTGGGTTTTGTCCTTTCACAACATTTATTAGGCTCAATGAGACTAACCTGTATAAATAAAGGTTGAATGAATCAGTTCAAAATACAAATGATTGTCACAACGGTCATGATGGGCGCCATGCTTTAAAATTTACTGATGATTCTGTCGTATCCCTCTTCAGGAGTCATAACTCAGAGAATGGGCCTGTGGTGAGTGAATCTGTGAGTTAATGTAATTAATCTTTTTTTAAACATCACTGTGGCAAAACCTAAAGAACTATGCATTGATTTTAGTAGAAATCCTACTGTCATCACCTCTGTTTAAATGACCAAGCTGTTCAGAGTGAAGCAGCAGAAACGCAGAAGAACTGTGACTCAAAGTGAACTTGTGTAAAAGGGCTCATCAGTATGCACCCTTCAGAATTTTAATTTTGATACACCGTTTACTTTTTAAATGCTTTATTCTTATTTTATTAATTTTATCAGTTTATTTTATCTGTCCATGTGTCATTTTCTATAAAGAATAAAAATACAAAGTACTGTGAGGTTGTTTGGTAAACTTAGTGGAAGTTCTTTTCTGTGTTCTGTAACTCTTTTGTTTGAGTTCTGTTTCCTTTAATAAAAGCTTGTAGTTTGTCTTTGGAGCTTCTCGAGTCGAATCTACGATTCCTCGGTTCAAATCCTCTTGTCTTGATAATTCTCTAACTGATTTGATGATACAGCGATAGGTGGGGCGCAACCTGAGCAAGTCACAAGACCATCAGGGCTTACAGACACTACCAGTTTGGGCCAATTAAGAGTCTCCATTGAATTCAATGCACATGTTTTTGGGATTTTGTAGGAATCAGAAGAACCTGGAGAGAACTCAGATTGCACCGGGAGAACATGCAAACTGAAAAAAAACAACAAAACAAATTAATTTTCAATCCATCAACTTTCTTGCAGCGAGGCAACAGTGCACCCTTTGATTTGGGAGGGCTTGTTCCTCTTCATGTTCACTTTCAGATCAAAACTCCACCCCAGTCCCCCTCCCAAGCCCCTGTTCCTCCTCCCTGCCTGCAGAGCCTCCACAAATGAGATAAGAGCACTAATGTGATTGAGAGAGAGGGAGGGAAGAGACAGAGATAGAAAGAGGGCGGCTTTCTAATTTAATAGAAACTCCATCAGGCTAATGGAACAGTGGACTGACCGCCCAGCCTCCTTCACACACACACACACACACACACACACACACACACACACACACACACTCATGCACAGTCATTTACTTTGTACTGTACTGTGAGCGTGGGAATATATTGGTATGCACCACAATGCACTGAGCCACAGACTTAAAGGAATATGAAAAAGAGGACTTCTTTGGCTAAAGGAGGACACACCAGAACACTTGATGGATGGAGAGGCATGAGCAAAATAGAATGATTTATTTTTTAGTCAGCTGTACACAAAAACACTAAAAGTTGGACAAATTAGTGGGAAGAGCACACAAAGTGAGGTGGACAGACGATTGATGTCATTGTCACCCGGCAGAGACAGTTCAGCAGTTAATCATGGTCGTTTCTGCCCCTTGTTGAGGTGGGGGGGCTGTGTGAGTGGAGACTGAGGAGGAGGAGTCAGGTGCAGACCAGGGCAGAGATGACAAATGGTTTTGCCCAATCTGCCTTGCCCAAAGGTAATAAATGAGTGTGCAATCCTTTTCTGGCTATCACACACACACACACAGCGCTGATTCTCATCCACACACAGGCCTGTCGGCTGATTTATTTCCACTTACGCTCTGAAGTGTGGAAATTTGGACGAGTGACAAAAGTACAAACAGGACGTGTCCTTGAGCGCAGCAGCTCTGGCTCTTCTCTTTCTTTCATTTTCTCACTTTTCTTCTTCTCCCATATGTTTTACTGCCAGTCCTCTCATCTTTCTCTCTGATAAAAGATCCTCTCTGCCACGACTAAAGTTTTGCTTGTGACCCGGCTAAAACTAGCTGTCGGAGTTCAAGTGCCCTGCAAATCATTAAGAATGAGAATCTGTGCGTCAACTCATTCAAGCAGATTTGGCCTTTTAACTTCCCTTTACAAATAAAAATGACGTTTCTAAATTAGTCTCGTTCTCTTTTCAAAATATGTAAAATAGTATAAGGTTGGGTTTTGAAAAAAGAAACGCATATCAAGAGTTGCCCTGGACGATTTGAAACAAAAACTGCAACTGCCTGCCATATTTAATCATGAAATGTATTTTTCAATATGGACTTAAGCATTATAAAACTATCTTCTATAAAAACAAAAGAAAAGAATCAAAGTACAAAAAGTTTATTTGTCAAGACAACAAATTTGAACAAAATCCAAGGATGAAGTCACCCCAGAAGACAAAATCAGCATCCGTTAGTGTCTTGTAGATACAGTAGTCCCTCGTTTATCACAGGGCTTACGTTCCACACTACCCTGTGCAATAAGTGAAAAACCGTGAAGTAGAAACGTTATATTTATTTTAGCATTTATATATATTTTAAGGCTTTATAAACCCTTCCCACACTCTTACAATGTTCTAAACTCTTAAACCTATGTAATTTTAACAACATACATATATGCACTGTACAGTACTGCAAACTTTTATATGGGGACTCACCAGCCTTGGTCCGGTTCTGGTCTGGTTCTGGTCGGCTCCCTACAGCCATTGAGCACCAGACACTTTTGGAGAGAGTCGGACCCTCAGAGAGCCAGCACAAAACCACACAATGGTCCAGATCGAGTCCAAATAATCCAGACGAATCCGGATGAAAAAAGTCCAGGTGAGCTCCGGAGAAGACCTCCGAGCAACACCTCCACGCTCGAGAGGCTTCATGGGCCGGCAAGCAGCACCCAGATGGACCGATGAGGCTGGAAGTAGTTCTGGTCCAGTTCTGATCAGCTCTTTTCATCCATTGAGCACCGAAGTCACTATGAAAAAGGACTGAACTTTTTAGTCAGATTTAGAGTTGCATTTGGGCCTAAAAAAAATCCGGCTCGGCCCAAACTCGTAGTTTTTTTTTTCCAAGCCAGACCGGGACCCGATGGATTAACTGTAATTACAGGCCTGAACCTTTTAAAAAAGCTGACTTTGTTTTTAAAGCTTTTACTGTTTTGGTAAGCAAATTAGTTTGACCTGATTTTTTTTAAAAGTATTTCAAAGAAATGAAGATATAAGATTTCTTGTTTCACCAAATGATATAAATATACAAAAATGAATAGCCTAAAAAAAACCAACTCTAAAGAAAGACTATTATACAGATGAACAAACATATTTGTAGAGCAAAATTATTTGGAAAAATATAGAACAAGACTATTTTAATTGAACGAGCTGCTCACTTCGGCTTTTGTAGATGCTGTTACTTCCTTCACCGCAGGTGACAGCAGGTGCAGAGACGCGTGCGGCTGATGATCAGCTGATCCACCTGAGCTTAAGTGGATTTTTTTTTTTTTTTTACCTCTTTCAACTGGCAGGTCGGAACTGCCTCCTCCTCAACAAATAGATTAACACAATTTTATATTCTTATTTAGTTTTATTTGTGTTGTATGATTCGTGAAACCGTATCAAAAGCCTGACACCGACACGGCTCACCCATCCAGCATATTATTTTGGCCCGGCCCGGGTTAGAAATGACAGCTCTAGTCAGATTCAGATTGAATCAAAAACTTTCCCTCCATTCCGGCAGAAAGCAGCAGCAGGAAGCACAGTTGCCTTCTGGGTAGTGTAGTTCTTTGACTGGCCTTACAGTATAGGCTTATTTAAATAAAACTACAAAATGGCAGCGCCTGTCCCAAGTATTTTTTTCTGTTAACTTTTTATTCCGTCCCCTCCCAATCACG